TATCTGTATCTTCAAGTTGGACAGTATTTGTATCTGTACCTTCAAGTTTGACAGTATTTGTATCTGTGCCTTCAAGTTGGACAGTATTTGTATCTGTGCCTTCAAGTTGGACAGTATTTGTATCTTTACCTTCAAGTTGAACAGTATTTGTATCTGTACCTTCAAGTTGGACAGTATTTGTATCTGTACCTCCAAAGTGGACAGTATTTGTATCTGTACCTTCAAGTTGAACAGTATTTGTATCTGTACCTTCAAGTTGGACAGTATTTGTATCTGTATCTTCAAGTTGGACAGTATTTGTAGTTGGACAGTATTTGTATGACAGTATTTGTATCTGTATCTTCAAGTTGGACAGTATTTGTATCTGTATCTTCAAGTTGGACAGTATTTGTATCAGTACCTTCAAGTTGAACAGTATTTGTATCTGTATCTTCAAGTTGGACAGTATTTGTATCTGTACCTTCAAGTTGGACAGTATTTGTATCAGTATCTTCAAGTTGGACAGTATTTGTATCTGTACCTTCAAGTTGGACAGTATTTGTATCTGTACCTTTAAGTTGGACAGTATTTGTATCTGCACCTTCAAGTTGAACAGTATTTGTATCTGTACCTTCAAGGTGGACAGTATTTGTATCTGTACCTTTAAGTTGAACAGTATTTGTATCAGTATCTTCAAGTTGGACAGTATTTGTATCTGTACCTTCAAGGTGGACAGTATTTGTATCTGTACCTTCAAGTTGGACAGTATTTGTATCTGTACCTTCAAGGTGGACAGTATTTGTATCTGTATCTTCAAGTTGGACAGTATTTGTATCTGTACCTTCAAGGTGGACAGTATTTGTATCTGTACCTTCAAGGTGGACAGTATTTGTATCTGTATCTTCAAGTTGGACAGTATTTGTATCTGTACCTTTAAGTTGAACAGTATTTGTATCTGTACCTTCAAGGTGGACAGTATTTGTATCTGTATCTTCAAGTTGGACAGTATTTGTATCTGTACCTTTAAGTTGGACAGTATTTGTATCTGTACCTTCAAGTTGAACAGTATTTGTATCTGTACCTTTAAGTTGAACAGTATTTGTATCTGTACCTTCAAGTTGGACAGTATTTGTATCTGTACCTTCAAGTTGGACAGTATTTGTATCAGTACCTTCAAGTTGGACAGTATTTGTATCTGTATCTTCAAGTTGGACAGTATTTGTATCTGTACCTTCAAGTTTGACAGTATTTGTATCTGTGCCTTCAAGTTGGACAGTATTTGTATCTGTGCCTTCAAGTTGGACAGTATTTGTATCTTTACCTTCAAGTTGAACAGTATTTGTATCTGTACCTTCAAGTTGGACAGTATTTGTATCTGTACCTCCAAAGTGGACAGTATTTGTATCTGTACCTTCAAGTTGAACAGTATTTGTATCTGTACCTTCAAGTTGGACAGTATTTGTATCTGTATCTTCAAGTTGGACAGTATTTGTAGTTGGACAGTATTTGTATGACAGTATTTGTATCTGTATCTTCAAGTTGGACAGTATTTGTATCTGTATCTTCAAGTTGTACAGTATTTGTATCAGTACCTTCAAGTTGAACAGTATTTGTATCTGTATCTTCAAGTTGGACAGTATTTGTATCTGTACCTTCAAGTTGGACAGTATTTGTATCAGTATCTTCAAGTTGGACAGTATTTGTATCTGTACCTTCAAGTTGGACAGTATTTGTATCTGTACCTTTAAGTTGGACAGTATTTGTATCTGCACCTTCAAGTTGAACAGTATTTGTATCTGTACCTTCAAGGTGGACAGTATTTGTATCTGTACCTTTAAGTTGAACAGTATTTGTATCAGTATCTTCAAGTTGGACAGTATTTGTATCTGTACCTTCAAGGTGGACAGTATTTGTATCTGTACCTTCAAGTTGGACAGTATTTGTATCTGTACCTTCAAGGTGGACAGTATTTGTATCTGTATCTTCAAGTTGGACAGTATTTGTATCTGTACCTTTAAGTTGGACAGTATTTGTATCTGTACCTTCAAGTTGAACAGTATTTGTATCTGTACCTTCAAGGTGGACAGTATTTGTATCTGTACCTTTAAGTTGAACAGTATTTGTATCTGTACCTTCAAGTTGGACAGTATTTGTATCTGTACCTTCAAGTTGGACAGTATTTGTATCAGTACCTTCAAGTTGGACAGTATTTGTATCTGTATCTTCAAGTTGGACAGTATTTGTATCTGTACCTTCAAGTTTGACAGTATTTGTATCTGTGCCTTCAAGTTGGACAGTATTTGTATCTGTGCCTTCAAGTTGGACAGTATTTGTATCTTTACCTTCAAGTTGAACAGTATTTGTATCTGTACCTTCAAGTTGGACAGTATTTGTATCTGTACCTCCAAAGTGGACAGTATTTGTATCTGTACCTTCAAGTTGAACAGTATTTGTATCTGTACCTTCAAGTTGGACAGTATTTGTATCTGTATCTTCAAGTTTGACAGTATTTGTAGTTGGACAGTATTTGTATGACAGTATTTGTATCTGTATCTTCAAGTTGGACAGTATTTGTATCTGTATCTTCAAGTTGGACAGTATTTGTATCAGTACCTTCAAGTTGAACAGTATTTGTATCTGTACCTTTAAGTTGGACAGTATTTGTATCTGTATCTTCAAGTTGGACAGTATTTGTATCTGTACCTTCAAGTTGGACAGTATTTGTATCAGTATCTTCAAGTTGGACAGTATTTGTATCTGTACCTTCAAGTTGGACAGTATTTGTATCTGTACCTTTAAGTTGGACAGTATTTGTATCTGTACCTTCAAGTTGAACAGTATTTGTATCTGTACCTTCAAGGTGGACAGTATTTGTAAATGTACATTTGTGCAAGTGATACCGTAACCTTGAATGACAGACATATATACATGTACCATAATGATCATCCTGAATATGCATGAACAAGGTCATGTTTTTCTCAGACTGTAAATGACAACTTTACACCAAATCCATTGGATGTTGGATTTGAACCAATTGATATTTTAGTCTTAGATACATGATTTTTTTTTGTCTAGCCTGCGACGAAAGTCTAAGTATGCGAGACATAGGGATTACTATTCAACGGTGGCAACTGTGTAAACTATTTGTATAAAGCTTTATATAAGGTAGAAAACCTTGATGCTTCATACCTTGTACGCAGATACCTTATGTTACCAAGTTTCAGTCTGTCACATGTCCATTGTCCTTGACCTCATTCTCATGGTTCAGTGACAGCTTGAAAAAAAATTATAGATTTCACCTGACCTTGACCTCATTATATGGATCAGTGATCAAGGTTAAAGCTATGTGATTAGGTCCATTTCTCAGAAACTATAAGCAGAAGGTCAGCTATATGTGGTGTATGGAATGAGTGAAAGTGACACATGTAAGTCTGGCAGTTTTCATCTGACCTTGACCTAATTTTCATGATTCATTGGGTAATGTTAAGTTTTTGTGTTTTGGCTGTTTTTCAAATACTATAAGCAGTAGGTCAACTATATTTGGTGTATGGAATGATTGCAAGGTGTACATGTCTGTCTGGCAGTTATAATCTGACCTTGACTTTATTTTCATTGTTCATTGGTGAATGATGAGTTTTTTTGTTTTGGTCTGTTTTCAATTACCATGAGCAATGGGTCAACTATATTTGGTGTATGGAATAATTGTAAGGTGAACATGACTGTCTGACAGGATTTATCTGACCTTGATTTCATTGTCATGAATCTTTAAAAATGTTAAGTTTATGTGATATTTGTAGTTAAACTTTTATCTTTAAAGGGGCATTAGCTACGAGATATAAAAAAATAAAATTTGATTTTTTTTTGTTCAGTCATTAATTGCTATGTCAGTAACTGCTAGTAGTCCTTTGTTAATTTATGTATCATTGTCATTTTGCTTAGTTTCTTCTGTTAAACTTTCAATACATATCAGTTTAACTATTTCAAGGCCCTGCCCACTAGATCATGGTCCAGTGACTTAGAAATAATTAGTAATTTTCAATGTTATGTTTTCTACTTAAATCAGTTTGATAGGAACTACTTGTCACAGTTCAATGATATTTTCTATGAAGTTGCATCACTATCAGTACATATCAGTTTGATGACTATTCCGAGGCCCTGCCCCGAGCCTTAAGTCATGGACCAGTGACTGAATTAATTCAAAAGCAATTTTCAATGTTAAGTTTCAGTTTGATAAATGTGATAGATCAATGATATTTTCTGTTAAGTTGCATTACTATCCAGTCATATCAGTTTGACAACAATTCCCGTAAGTGAATAATGACTTTCAATTAGTTACAGAATTTCAATGTTAAGTTTTTTGCTTAAGTTAGTTTGATAGGAACTACTTATGATAGACAATGATATTTTCTAAAAAGTTGCATTACTATCAGTATATCTAAGTTTGTCAACCAATTTGAGGTCCTGCCCCCTAGTTCATGGTCCAGCAACTTTAAATTAATTAGCAATGTTGCTGTCCATCAGATTGGCTTCTTCTGAATTTTCTGCCGACTGGCAAAACATATCTCTGTGTCAACAGTTTATTATATTTTGTTCTTATGTTGCAATGTTTCACCATTGTCAGGGGTAGGGTTTGGCGCCAGCAAACATGATTAACCCCGTCACATTCTGTATGTGCCTGTCCCAAGTCAAGAGCCTGTTATTCAGTTGCTGTCGTTTGTTGCTGTATATCATATTTGTCTTTTTGTTTATTGTTTTGTACATAAATCAGACCGTTATTTTTCTCGTTTGAATTGCTTTACATTTTTCATTTTTGGGCTTTTTATAGCTTACTGAGCAGTATGGGTTTTGCTCATTGTTGTAGGCCGTACGGTGACCTATAGTTGTTAACTCTATGTCATTTGGTCTCTTGTAGAAAGTTTTCACATTGGCAATTATACCACATCTCCTTATTTTTCTATAAAATACTTGACACTGGACGTTAATCAATCACTCGCGTTTGGCGTACACAACTTTAAGTCAGGTATCTTTGACAATTTTATCATATATCAAATTAATACTAATTGAATTAAACAAATATATTATAGAACTGAACATTTATTAAAACCACACTAAAGTATTACTTTACAACTCAACTTTTTATAATAAAATGATATACATAAAATTAGTTAAATATATACCTTCATGTAATCATTTAGCTCTCTGATGGGCTACTCATTAATATAAAGATTCCTTAAATGTACCATACACAAATATATAATTTAAGAAGGGTGTCACTTTAAAACGACTATACTGTGTTATATCCCAAAAGACAAAACAGAGCCTGTAGTAGATCCCAGCAGTTAAAAATAATTAATATATACAGCAATTGATCTCAGCAGGCAGATATGAACTCAAATTAAAACCTTTAAAATGGCTAGCTAGAATTGAACAGGGCATAAAATTGTTCACCTGCTATTTTATGTTTGATCTGAATTGTTTTTTTGGTTTCACATTCCCAAAGGTGGACTTTTCGACTGCATATTTCATTTGGAGACATTAGGAAAAAACATATTTTCCTTAGAAGCCAGTGGCGTGTTGATTCTCAAACTATCAGATTGTGACAGTTGCCTATAGTACTAAACGAAAAGACCTTGATTCAAACAAGGATTCCATGGAATCTTTAAGTAATGCAGCAACAGTATCTGTTTTAGTGTTGCAATGTCAGGCACAAAATATAAATTTGTTTCCTATAAGATTCATTGGATTAAAAATAAAAAATAAAACATGTATATTTAGCTCAGCAATCCCATTTTTTTACTGGAAAATTGGAAAACAGTTTTTTTTTGGGGAAGCCTAAAATAAACAAAATAGCCGAAACATTTCAAACAAAACACAAAACAATGCTCTTAAATAAAAAAAAAGTTTATTAAATCTGTTAAATAACAAATATTAAAGCAATTAAACATGTTCCAAATGTCCTTTAAATTGAGAATTGTTTGATGGAGTTTATTATAAATTGTTTTTTTTTTTAAATTAACTTTTTACAAAGATTTAATCACCAAAAAGATTTATATTATGTACTGATTTTTTTTAAAACTATTTTATTGTTTTAAATTATCTCACTGAAAATGTTTTTTAACATGAAAATGGTACTTCTTAAGTGCTTCTATTTTATGGAGAATAACCAGAAATTATCAAACTGATTAAATAATAAAAGTAAAAAAATGATTACCTTGAAGTATCAAATATGTAATAAGTACATTAAGTTACAATTGATTAAAGACTTTAACAAGATCACCTTGTATGATCACCAGTTTTCTTTGTGTGAAATTATAATGTATCACACCATTCCTAGCTGAAGTGGTTTGAAGTGTCTTCACTGGTTTATACTGTTTACCATCAGATGACACATGTACTGATTTATCCTCACACACCACATACAGACTGTCATCTTGTAGTGTAGTCATACTATAGGGTGGTGATGGTAATGTTAGGGTGTGATGTCTGTCATCACTATAACTGTACCAATACAGCTTGTTGTTGTTCAAGTAGGTATCACAGTAGAATATTCTGTCACCAGAACCATGTAACCAGTAAGGATCACAGTCAGTCTGTATTGTCTGTACCACCTCTCCTGTCTGATGATCTATGATCTGTAGTCTGTTGTCACCATATACAACTAACTGGTTGTTTATAGTTGTAATGCTACCACACCACATTCCAGGTAGTGAAATTGATTTAAGTTTGAGTTTATTGTTTATGTCAAACATCTCTATACACCCACTACCAAACAGTGTAACAGCTACTGTAGAGTTGTTGACTGCTGTAACACTGTATGGGTGACCCTGTACATCTATACTGTCTTCCTGTGATCCATCTGTATTACAGATCAGTAGTCTGTCCTGGTCAGGTAAACACACCACCAGTCTACCATCATCCATCATCACTATTTCTGTTACTCCTCTAAAACTACCACCAACTACTGATGACAGGTCTATCTGATGATGTAGTGTGAAGATAGACTGTCCTAGTTTGTAGGTTTTTATTGGATATTTTTTATTTTCTGAAAAAGTAGAGTTGAAAGTATTGAGTTGAATCTGTAGGAGGTCAATAGGTTTGATCTTATAAATAACATCACAAACACTTGTTGATTATATATATGACATGACAGGTTAATATGTGTTTTTTAAATCTAGATTACACAATTCAGTGGTTTTATATATTTCCTTTTTTGAAGAAGAAAACCAAAGATTTTGTCTAATAATGATATAATATATAGGTGATTACATCCTTTTTTATGTATGGTTCTCTCATTATCACCTTTCTTTGTCTTTATATCTATACAAATTTTAAACTGTTCGAAGACAATTGGTGGGGTCAATTTCCCTTTATTTTATTTTGCACCAGGTCCATTTTCAAAACGTTTTCTTTTTTTTTTTTTTTTCTAAAATTCACATAATCACAATTTCATGTGTGTTCTTATTTTTTTTTTAAATAAAGTAAATCTAAATTCCACAAAATGGTTGAAACATGCAATTTAGGCATATTCTGAGTTATTTCACAAAAATGAATAAACCATTCTTATTTTTATATTAAACCATTTTAGAAGTAAAATTGTATTCTTTCAGATACAAATTATTTAATGCAATAAGGATGGAATTTAAAAAAAAACATGTAAAATTTGCATAGACGAATTAAAAGTGTTCCCAGTAAAAATGCATAGTACTGAAAAATACTTAGATTTTATGGATATTTGTAAAATTGGAGTCAATCTTTAATGATTATTATTTAGGTTCATTTATATTCAACTTTCAGTTAAATTTTGGACTTAGACCCTGTGAGTGATAAAAAATAATTGGATGAAAATGGTCCTTCCTCTTTCCTTTAGCATGTTAAACAGTTTTAATTTTTGTATAGACAAAAATACCTTGTTTGTCAGTTTTCTCTTCTAAACTCTGCTTGGTCAAACTCTGTGTTGTTAAATGTTGCCATATTTGCTATAGAAATATAAACAACAAATTTAAAAGTAGAGACAAAGTGGAAACTTTCTTTATACATGCAATTTTATATAGTCTTTTTCAAAGTTTTAATATCTGCCGTTAATTTTTATGTAAGAAAAAATAATCTTTAAAGCAAAGTGCATAATAGGAATGTAAAATTTCTTAAACAGGGATATTTTTCATTCTAATCATTCCCATACGTATTTATAGTACTGAAACAGCTGCTTATTAGGTTAGACTTATTTTTATCACATATTGCATATATACATGATATATTTCATTTACAGAATGTCATTCCATTTGTTTTTGACTATAAAAGTAAATTAACATGATCGTTTACATACCTGTACACAACGCAGTGTTTCAGTCGTATTTGTATCTATCTGAAAAAGAGAAAATTTGTGAGAGTAAATATGAAACATAATTTCACCTTATATAAGAATGCCTGATTTTGATTGGTTGGTAGCCAGGGTATTTTTAGCATATTCTAACCTTTTTTCCTCATTGCAAACGAATTTGCCTGTTTTCACCACTGCCGGTGAATATGCCTCGAAGTCCCCTCTATGCCGTGGTATTTGCCATTTGCCATTTTGGATATTCCTTTTTTAACCCTTGCGAGCCTCTTCCCGCCAAAATTATTCGGATATGACATGACCTCAAAACAGCACTAACGCATATAAGTACATGTATAATTCCCGCCGTACTTTGATAGTCACTATTTATCCTCAAATTATGCATAAACATGTTCATGAGTAAAAGAAAGATTTCCCTTGACCTGTACAGAGAGTTTCAATAAAAATCTATTCGGTGTAATTAAACAGATATATCATGTTATGGAGGGGTATTTGCAAAAAATAACAGTCTTGGGACCAAATTTCCCTTGCCTAGCGGCTTGGGAAATTTCACAGTCCCTTGCCTAGCGGCTTGGTAAATTTCACAGTCCCTTGACTGATATTTTTTGCAAACACCCCGCCATAACATGATATATATCTGTTTAATACCTTCTTTTAAACTAAATAATCTTGTGCAATGCTAAAACATAAGTACATGTATCAACAAAATGCAGGACCATAAATGTTCTTAGCTGACTACAGCAATAATATTAAGATATATTCTAATTTATTGATAATGATAAGGTCATCTCTAGGTCTTCTCCCAACAGGCAGAAAAACCCTTTCCAAAGTGGGATGTCATTTTGGATGTGTAGGACGTATACATTTTCAGGCATGTCCTTTCATAATGAGAACATGAACATTAAATCTAATCAGAGACATATATACATGTCTCTGAACTTATGCATTATGTAGAGAGAGTGCCATATGCTAGGAACATTAAAAACCTTGCAAAATCTTTTAGAGGGGTCTTTAGGTGATCTAATGCAAGGCTAAATTTCTGTCCCCTGTTTTCCATTGGCATACTAAATTTCCCTCCATTCATCCAGTTCGATCCCATATTGCAGGACCTCCCTATTGTATTTATTGTTAATTTGTTCTACTCCTGCCCATGCATGTCTGACTTATTTGCTACTGAGAGTAAAGCAAGCAACAATCAACCAATCTTATTATAGTGTTATACTGATAACCTTCAAAATTTACTTTATTTAAAGGATTTATAAATTTTCACAAATCATATCATGATTTACAGACTCTACTTTTTTTATTTTTTTTTGGGGGGGGGGGGGGGGGGGGGGGGGGGGGGGCTTTAAAGCTTTCTGTTTGGTTGTGACCTGGATGGAGAGTTGTCTCATTGGCACTCATACCACATCTTCTTATATCTATCTACAAATAACATTTCCATAAAGATACAAATGTGACATCCCTATAGTGATCAGTATTCTGCAGATCTTGTTTACTAATACTGTTACTTCTTGAGTCTTTGATTTTTATCCTAAAGTTCCTGAATATGGCATATTGATATACAACTTGACAATAAATTGACACAAGCATTAGCACATAATAGGTTTTGTTTTGCAGAAATGGCAACGGACACTTAGTACTGATACTTCATCTACTGATACTTATTATACTAAAAGCGTAGAAACAGCTTAGAAACAGCATCTATAGAAGGCACTTTTTTACAACATTGAATGTATTATAAGCAAGAATGTTTGCAGAATGTCATCACTTGGTGTTCATCGGTCATCATCTTATCAGTTTAAAAGTTTTGTTTATTTCCTTAAAGCAGTTATAGATGACAAAATCTGACCTAGGGAAAAATGTTTATAATTTTAAGAATAAAAGTAAACTTTATTTTATAATTATGTCACATACTGATTGTACATTATACAATAACATTTAAAAATATGCAATAAAACAATCAATACCCAGCCATTGAGTAGGTTTATGAGACATATTTTTATTTTTACCATTTTTTGTGTTTTGGTCTATTATTTTGAAAACTACAATAGATAGATTAGAGACTATGAAAAGCAAAAATAATCATCAAAACAAGATTTGCAAAATAGGTCAGTAGCCTTCTCATATGATTTACTGCCCTTAAATAATGATTTGTATACCCTTTTTAGCTCACCTGGCCGGAAGCTTTTTAGGGTATCTGGATGGCTGACAATGGTAATAAAATGCTTCGCTGAGCGCAGCTGGATACGACCGCAGAGGTCCAACCCTGAACAGTTGGGGCAAAAATGGACACAATATTCGCGCTTGATACAGGTCTGAATTTGGATTGTAATTAAACATTTGACACATAATAGGTTTCTGACACAGAATAACTGTAGTCAAAGAACTTAGAATTGGTTATATGATTTGAATTTATATTTTGTGCAATACACTATGATGTTGCGTATTGACCCCCCCCCCCCCCCCCCCTTTATTTTGCAAAAAAAAAAAATATTTGAAGAAATTTTCTTTTTAATTTCTGAAATCTGAAATGAGAAAAAATTGACCCCCCCCCCCCTTTTCCAAAAAAAAAATTCTTTCCTTCAAGATATGGTCATAATCTCGTTTCAAATTTACAATGGAGTTTGCAACCATAATAACCAATTTAAATACATCATAAAAGTCTTAAAATAGAAAATGACATACATAATCATGGCTAAAATTAATATTCCTTTAATAGTAACTTCTAATAAAATGCTCCGCCGGGCGCAGCTTGATACAACCGCAGAGGTCGAACCCTGAACAGTTGGGGCAAGTATGGACACAACATTCAAGCTTGATACAGCACTGAATTTGGATTGTGATTAAAATTTGACACAGCATAGGTTTCTGACACAGAATGAATGTGGTCTAAGAACATAAAAAATTTTAATTTACCTATTCAAACCATATCATTATTATTTGCTTTTATATATAAATCAGAAATAACCAATTTAAAATGGAAAATTTTAAAGAAAAAAAAGGAAAAAAAGGAAAAAAAATCCCTCTACCAAATGTTTTGAACCCCTTATGATTCATCACCCCATACTCAATCCCACTTACACACAAGTTATGGTCCTGAAACTAGAAAAATGCTTGTTTTTTGCCCCTTTTTGGCCCCTTATTCCTAATATTTTGAGGCACTTACCCCCAAAATCAATTCCAGCCTTCCCTTTGTGTTATGGTACCTTGCAGTACAATTTCAGAGAGATCCTTACACTTGAACACAAGTTATTGTCTGGAAACTAGAAAAATGCTTATTTTTGGCCCCTTATTCCTAAACGTTTTGGCCAATTACCCCCAAACTCAATTCAAGCTTTCCCTTTGTGATATTGAACCTTGTAGTATAATTTCAGAAAGATCCATACACTTACACACAAGTTATTGTCATGAAACTAGAAAATGCTTGTTTTTGCCCCTTTTTTGGCCCCTAATTCCTAAAATTTTGAGGCAATTACCCCCAAAATCAATCCCAGCATTCCCTTTGTGATATGGAACCTTGTGGTACAATGTCAGAGAGATCCATACCCTAACACACAAGTTATGTCTGGAAGTTACAAAAACGCTTATTTTTGGCCCCTTTTTGGCCCCTTTTTGGCCCCTCATTCCTTAAATGTTGGTACCATAACCCCCAAAATCAATCCCAACCTTCCTTTTGTGGTATTGAACCTTATGGTAAAATTTCCATTCACTTAAACTAAAAGAGTTAGAGTGCGAAAACCAATGTGTCTTCGGACAACGACAACGCTGGACGACGACGACGACAAAGACGACGCCAACGTCATACCAATATACGAACGCAAAATTTTTTTGCAGCCGTATAAAAATTAATTGACAGCTAATCACCTCAAGACAATACAACATCTTTATACATAATTTAAAAGCAATGTAAGGGAGGTAATCCAATTTTTTTTTTTAAACTTTAAATGTATTTGGATTACCTCCCTTACACTGCTTTTAAATTGTCCATTAACCAGGAAACCCTTGTTTTTCCCCCTTTTTTGCCCCTAATTCCTAAACGGTTTGAGCCATAACCCCCCCCAAAGTCAATCCTAACCATCCCTTTGTGGTATGGAAACTTGTGGTATAATTTCAGAGATTCATACACCGTTCCACAAGTTATTGTCTGGAAACTAGAAAAATGCTTATTTGGGCCCTTTTTTGGCCCCTAATTCCTTAAATGTTGGTACTATAACCCCCAAAATCAATCCCAACCTTCCTTTTGTGGTATTGAACCTTATGGTAAAATTTCATAGAGATCCATTCATTTAAACTAAAGTCATTGTGCGAAAACCAATGTGTCTTCGGATGACGAAGACATCATACCAATATTTTTTGCGGTTGTATAAAAATAGAACATAGGGGTAAAATGCAAGTTTGTCTATTATCTTGAAAACCAATATAAATAAATAAAATCTGAAAAGGGCAGAAATGTTGCGAATGATAAGATCTAGCTATTGTTCATTTGTTTTTAAACTGTGAGATGACTTTAATAGGAGTTATTTATACCTTTAAATGACAAATTTTAACAACTTTTTAATGTTTGCCTATTATCTTGAAAATTATAATAGATAGAGAGAAACTTTATATAGCAAAAATGATCAAAAAGATAAATACTACAAATAAGTCAAATGGTTGAAATCATCTGATAGCCCCTTATTGGAGTTATTGCCCTTTAATGACGATAGTTACTAATTTTTTGCAATTTCTAATATCTGAAAAAATATCATAGATAGTAGAGATAAGTGAGAAGTGAGCACATATGAAGCTGTTACTTCAATATCATTGCCAACAACCTGTTATATTTTTAATGGAAGAGTGAAGTCTTTTAAATTGGTATGTTATAGGATTAAACGCCTTTTAAAGGAATTTATTGGTGTATAAACTCGACCAATTCACTCACAAACAAATAAAAGTCCGAAGGACTTTTATGATATGTTTGTGAGTGACTTGGTCCAGTTCAGACTTTCATTTGTTTGTGAGTGAATTGGTAGAGTTTATACACCAATAAATTCCTTTAAGAAGGCATTTAATCCTTATAATTTTTTAATATTGGAGATGAGGATAATTTCCCAATTACATAGCCTCTATCACAAGTAAATTGTATATTTGTGTCATTGAATTGGCCTGGCGCATGAATATATTTGTTGGTTAACACAAAAATATGTACTCCATGAAATTTGCTATCTGATAAAAAATAAACTACAAAAACTCTTATTATCATTCAAATGAAATGTTTTGTGCTCAATATTTAATTTAACGATTAACGTGGAGTGAAAATAAATTTTGTTAAAGTCGAGCCGGATTGTGTTATTATCCCTGCCTTCTTGTTTACATTAGTTACGAAAAGAAGTTCGGTCAACGTCTTCTATTGAAAAATAAACAACGTTAAGAACAACTACCGGAAGTCCTCTCAACCAATCATATCAACGTATTCCTATACATAGTACTGAGGAATATCTGAGTATTGTTATATTTTTTGTCTAAATAAAAATAACTCTAACCTTTTCCAATATCTCATGAATATTTAAAAGGGTTGTCATGTATTTGTTACACAGTGCATCATCCAGTGGTCTTTTCTGTATCCTTATCAGTTCATCTTCTTTAGTCAGGTCAAGTTGAAGGATACTGGTCTTGAGCTCATCCATCAATGGGCCATACTCATCCTTGGTTATACCACATGTTGTGTTATGACTCAGATAGTCATTTTTATTCCGTCTGAGGATGTGGACTGCCTCTTGATCAAGTTGTCCAAGTTTGCAGCAGTTAAACAATATAAGACCACACAAACTCAAATCAAGATTATCCAGTTCGATTGACTTGGCTGTGTACTTACAAAAACAGTTGTGTATACCAGGCCCTGGATTTTCAGCATAAAGTTGTTTCCATTGGTGATGATTTAGAGGAAGAGCTCCTTGGTTGGTGCAGTTTGCTTTATCTGTACAGCACCATGCATTCCTGTGGCGTAGGTGAAATAATATGTGGATGACTGCCTTTTTATCAAGAAAATCCTTCAGACATCCAAAGTTGAGGCTTTTATAGTTTTCGTCTAACTTTTGTTGAAACAATGGAGTAACAACCTCCAGGTAGACAGATCCAACAATGAAGTATCTTTTTTTATCTTCCTTATCCATTCTGTAAAATATAAGATAATTAAAATGCTACCCCATTTTCATTGTTAAAAAAACCTGATTAACTGTCTAAAGTATTTGATTTTAATCCCAATTTTTTTGAGTATTTTTAGCTCATGTCGTCTTCCTAATTCACTGTGTTGTTTGTCTGTTGATCCTTTAAATTTGTTATTTTTTACTCGCAAAAGCTGCATTAATAAATCTATCTGGAAAAATTAGTTGGATTATAGTATTTCCATTAAACACCACCCAGTTTTTGAGAATTTTTTCCTTTTTTGCCAATACTGAAGAGAAACATGTTTTTTAATCTTTGCTGAATTAGAAAACTAATAATTGTAACCGAGTCATTTTAATGCTTAGTCCATGTTTGATAACTTGACAGAAAATGGATTCTCAGCTAAGTTATGGCATTTATATAGTTTACACTGGCTTTATGGTCAGGTAAGCTATAAAGATGAACTAAATTGGCCACTGTGCCACACAGAGACTGGAAAGCGTTATTTGCAATGAATTGGTGAACTATTTGAATTATAAGTGTAAATAAAAAAGGGTGTGGTTGTCAATAAAAATATTGGGTTAAATGGGAAACATGCATTTTTTTTAGATAAAGACTATTGAAATACAGAGGAAATACGGAACAAAAGTTTTATAGTGTACTATTAAAAATGGTATTTTCCTGTCTGATATATATAATTATAAAAATTGGTTTCATTTTGAATTTCCAAGTAGCCTTTCAACTTTCAATTTAAGCAGAAGGAAATGTGTAAACCAAATAACTACCAAAAAAAATAAAAATATGTTGATTGTACAAACCTTTGTACCTAGTCCATGTTTTGGTGGTCAATTTTTTTGTTTGTTTTAGATATATACTACAGTCACCAGTTTCTGTTGTCCCTAAACCATTAATTGGAAATACCCTTTTCTTTTTATATAATTTAAATAATGAGTCATGTGATCACAGAGAAATATAAATGAAACATGCTTACCTCCCTTAGTATATATATATATTATTTAAAGCACTGCAATATATAGAGGATTATAGATCATTGTTTTGCACTTTAATATATTATCAATATTGGTTTTGCTCATGCAGTTGTATAAAATGAAGGAACAAGTGAAAGCATAATTATTTATTATATTATGTTTTTTTTTATATTTATATATATAATCATTATTAGAATTTGTGTTTTACACCTGTCAGAGATTATTATAATTTATATTTTACACCTGAGATTACTTTAACATTATATAGTAATCTCAGTTTACACAAATATGTTTTCTATTTTTGTTTGAATTCATTTCTAATTTTCCCAGTGTTTATAATGGATGAGGTAAATGCATGGGTGTAAATATAGATATTATACACACACCCTTAACCAATGCCTTTAAGAAATAATTTTAATTTAAATGAAGTGCTTATGGACTGTTACTAATCAATGACCATTAAGTTGTTCTTAATTATTCAATTAATAACACTGACTATTTTTTGGATGTCTGTGATTCAAGAAAAATGATTTCTTTTAAGGAACTCTTCAATTTTGATGAAGGTTTCCATTCATAATAAATGATTTTTAAAAAACATGGAATAAGTTTAATAATCAGGAAAATCTAAATGGCTACCATTTTTCATAAGAGGAATTATATTCCATTTTATTATACTAGTTCGTCATAGACAGGACGTATTATGGTATACTGCTGTCAGTCTCTCCACATGTCCTACAAAACTATAAGCTGCTTTGATAAAAATTTAACATCTTAAAACTTGAACGGTATGTATGAATTGGTGGAAAAAAGCTTCATTTATATTTTGAACATTTTAATATTTGTTCCAGATTTTCACATATTATGCGCTAACTTCGGTATTTTTGGATTGATTTCCTCACAATTGTACATTGTTGCCCGGATTACTAAGATTGGTACCTGTTATACAAATTTGTTGGTTTGTCGTTATGGGATTTCACTGTCAGATTTAAAGGAGAGGTGGGATTTCACTGTCAGATTTAAAAGAGAGGTGGGATTTCACTGTCAGATTTAAAAGAGAGGTGGGATTTCACTGTCAGATTTAAAAGAAAGGTGAAGGATACCAAAGGGACATTCAAACAACAGTACACAAAACAACATAATATTTTTTTAGCATGTTGTACCATAACCAGATTATGTTTTGCTCAGATCACTAGAATCTTTACACAATTGTTAGAATTGATGAATGAAGCATTTGAAGAGAATTTGATTTATAAAATTATGGCAATATTCTGGCAACGAAGACTTGAGTGTTCTTATGAACAAATTGGTCCCCATTTCAGATTTTTTCTGATTTTCAAACTCATCTTATGTTTACATGAGTCATGTCAATTTGAAAAAGATCCAACAAATAAAATAGCGCTAGCATGGTTACAAGTAAAAATGGGTTATTTCTAGTAGTCCCCAACCCAAAAACATTACACCCCATTTTAGGTTTTTCTGGTTATCAAACTCATCTGAGGTTTTGATGAGTGAGAGCCTTCATGCAAATTTCAAAGATATCCAACAAATAATGAAAGTGCTGGCATGGTGTCGAGAAGCAGTTGGTTAGTTTAGGTCCCCAACCTGAAAATTATTTTTTATATGCCATATCTTTAAAAAATATGTTGATGTTCTTTCATTTAGATATTGTGTGTAAGGTTTACATCTGAGGTAAAGCTTTGTAAATCAAATATATTGAATTTAAACAGTTCAAATTCTACTGTAGACACATAATAAAATATAACGATTAATTTGTCAATAATATTAAGTTCTAACAAAGATAAGTCTTCAATAAAACCGATTTTCTGTACTTAAAAATCACAATCTATGTCAATATTTGGAAATATTTGTCCACTTCAGTGATAATCGAGTATTAATATCATAAAGAGGTTTTCCTTGAGTGATTCAGGGCGGAATAAAAGTAAAAATGGATTACAATTATCTCCCCTGAAGCAAAAATAATTATAATATTTTATTTGTCTGTTTTGAATGTATTTTTATTGAAAGTTAAATGTAGGATACATTATATAGTTATATTATGTTAATGTGCCGTTAAGCTATAATATCCTTGATCCCAATAAATTGTTGTCCCATCTGACAAATAATTACCTTGTGTGATAGAGTTCATATAAAACCTTTAGTAGCAATATAGGTAAAAGTATATTTTTGGATAAAACGAAATAATTCTGAATGACTGAGAATGAAAGAAAATTCCAGATTAAAAAATTAAATATTTAGGACCTGGACAATAATATAAAAAAAAGTGAACCTGGTTTCTTAGCTTTGTAATATTAGATTTTATAAGTGTTTTTTTTTAATTTTTATTATTTGGTTGGGTGTAATAGTATGGCTGCTAAAAAGCTGCAGTATATAGTGTTATTTTTGCAAAAAATAAAGAAGAAATTTTGTAGATTTGAATCTTGTGTTTAAAATAAATTACTAATTAAACAATTTATTTGAGGTGCTTTAATCAGATGCTAGAGTGTATTGCATATATAGATATGTTTAAAAAACATGAAATCTAAAGGCAATTGGATTTTCTTAAAGCAAGTGTTTTAAAGTAGTAAAGAAATATTATATCTGAATGCTATATACCAGTCTGCTTGTTTTCACAACCATTTTGTTGTCTTATTTTACAACCTATATAAAAAGACTCTTGTAAGTATGCAGCACATCAGCATTAAGTACATTTATTTCCTGATAAGTGTAATTAATGGATCTCTAATTTTGCTTAAATACTCTGCATTATCTGTGGTACAGTTTTTGTTTGTTGCATTCTGAAAAAGGGAATTCAGTGAAAAAGTAGTATTATCGTTTCTTCTATTTCTAAAAACAAATTCCATTGCAGAAGTGTATGCATAACAGTATTTGGAAGTACATATAACTGCCTTCACCGAGGGTCTCTATCTCCTGTGTTTAATCTCCAAACTACCTATATCATAAGGTCTGTAACATCTCTCAATGATTTATTCCTGTCCATATAAAACTATCATATAGTGAAATATGGATTGTTTGTATTGCTTGTGAAGTACCGATCGTACAGGATATTTGAATAAGACTTATAAAGTCAGTATGAGTAGGCATGTGTTTGACTTTAGTGTTTTCAGATCTCGTTCAGGAGGATTTATAGAATAGACTTAAATGTTGACAAGTTGGTACAGATGTTTTATACTCTTATGAGCAGGAAAAACATGAGCTTCATAAATAATCAAACCTTATATGATTGTTGTCTTCATGAAGGCCATTTATATATATACTGAAGGTACACCATGGTTAAGATGCATTATATTAAAAATGATATGTTTAAAGCTGATTAATACTCAATTAAGCAAGCACTGAATTTTTGAATGTTGCATACTTTTTGTCTAAATTCTAGTCTATGCAACAAGATGCTTGTTAGTTTTAATCTCTCTCAATTATAGACAATTGTTTGAGGTAAATACAGTCATGAAACATCCATTAGCAAAAAATGTTTGGTTTGATTAACAATTTGTCTAAAATTGAAAACAAAAATTGTTTACAGTATATTTTCCTTGTTCTCAATTTTTCTTTGATCTTAAGAGTCTAATGAAATAAGCTGATAGTTAAATCTGTGATTCAAACCCTATATGTCCTGTCACTTGTCATTTTGTTATAACATCCAAAAATGTCTATCTATTATCAGTCTCAGCTTTGACATGGAAGCTAAAAGAAGGCACAAAATGGATTGAAAATAATATTTTAATAAAAAAGACTGTTTAAAGAGGTTGTTGTCAACAGAACATTATCAGGGTCCTAAATAGAAATAAATGAAATATAATATCAGATAAATACTTGATAAAAATGATCACCTCTCATGTGACATCGTTCCTTTTGTCCTCAAATTGGTCACTAAATTCTGATTGTTTACTTTTCATTTTCTGCTCACTTACAATTTTCTGGTGCATTAGACATGGAGGATTTTGTTTGGTATCAGAATACAAAATAAATTACAATGTAGGACTGGAAAATCAACAAAAACACAATTTGAAAAAAATAATCTTTTATAAATATGGATTTGACCTTGAGGCATCTTATTCAGGTGACATGGGTGTCACAAGGAGCCTGGAGGATGAAGAAAATATCCATCATTTATTGGTTCAACCCAAAAACATGTAAAAGTTCAAATACAAATATAATAGGCCACTGTATTATATTATAAATATTCAAATGTTACTGGGAGTTTTTATATGACTGATTTATGCTTGTTCTGTTTTTGGATTTACAAAATAAAAGATGTAGGTTTACTGTCAATGAGATATCAACCCTTGATAACCCTATCAAATCCTCCCAAACAATCAATATGTGATTTTGTGAATATCTCTTTTCATGTGCATTTGAACAATTAATGTATTTGCTGTTGTTTTTGGGTTACCTTCTCTTTCTGGCTTCCATACAAAGAAAAGTGTTCAATTACTTCCTTAGCTTCTCTTATGCAAAAGTTCTAAACCATCAATAACAGAAGTTTTTTTTTCTCAAAGTCATAATGTTAGTCAAGGATTCTTAGGTGCCTTTTGAATTTCTTAACACACACACACACACAAAGAAATAAGGAAAATATCATGTGAAATGTAATCAATAATGCTACCCAATTTTTTGTTTAATGATAGCTGTGATCATCATTACATTTCGGTTATGGCACTTCCAGCCTTAAATTAGTTCTTAATTCTGATCTTTTTAAATGAAATTAACTATTATTGAAAATCAAGAAATAGGGCAAATTGGTCAGAACTTACAGAGATTGAATACGTTTATTGAAAAGGCTGAAGAGTGAACATAATATTTGCATCTTGCATAAATCAAGATAATCACTTTAGATCATCTAGTTGAGTAATAAGTTTTTACAAATGTCTGCCCTTTACAGTTCTGACAGCCATTGATCTTGGCCATGTTCTCCATG